TCGTTTTACGTTTTATATTTACTAGACGATGGATAATATCCAAGAAAATTTTTATTCAATTGACTCTTCACCATCGTCAAGAAGTTTTAGATCTGATATATTTTAATATACTTTCTGTTCCCATTGTCGAGTAAATGATTGCCGTAAGGTTCTTGGAAATAATTTGACAACGAAATCGTTTAAACTCTTGTGTATACTCACAAATAAGAAAGGTAATTTTATTAAGTGCTCCAAGCTAGCGAATGAAATTTTACTTTGTCGATCCAAAAATTGATATAATTTTTGAAGCCCTTTTTATCAGTATTTCACATGTTCGTTTCAAGTTCGGTTATTTTTGATTTCCTTCTTTATTTATTTATTAACACCGTTGCAGGATGATTAAAGAATAATGGATTATAATGAACATATAAAGAAGTAGTCGTGGCCTAACATCTCTAGAATTTGCCTGGAGGTACTGTGGAAGACCACGAAAACTCTTAGTCGGGATAACCGGTCTTCTGACAGAGATCTGAACACAGGACCTCCAGGGTGTTAGTCAGTCTACCTAGAAAGTTCCGTCCTGATTTATTTCGATTTGCTTACAAATGTGTCCTTGTTATGACAATTCTGAGCAAGATGAATGTCTACCTTTGTCAACGCTACTGAAGTTTCTTATAAATTCGTTGTAATTGGACTTGTTATCTGACTAAGTAAGGCACATCCATACCCTCGCACCTCGCTAATGAACATGTAGATTATGTACTGAAAAGGCAGATGTAGTAACTTTACTTCTACTCAGGCTCCCTGCAAGCCTTGGCCTCTCTCAGAAATGTTCTACCACCGCTTCTAACTTCTTTTCAAAATTTCAGAGGATTCCGTGGCAAGGGGAGTTGGCTAACATAACACAGAAGAAAGCCGGCACACACAAACACACATCCTGTCTGACCAAGAACTTTTCGGAGGACACTTTGAATGTTTACATCGACCGCGGCTGCAGAGGGGGGCGGAGAAGACAGGGGGAAACACGGCAGTCATGGAGGGGCCCATAGGTTGTTCTTCGCTCACAGTAGTGTGATGAACACCTAAAAGGGGTTGTTCTAGTCAGATACTCACCGAAATGAGATTCACACTGTGTCTTTAAGCGTAAAATCGAAATTCCAA